AGATGTAGGTCATCAAGTAAACAGCTACTACATTCTATAGAACTAAAAATATCTGCCAAAGTAAAAATTGTGCATGATTAAATTATTGCTCTAAAGTAAAAATTACATTTTTTCCCCTCTACCTTTAGAGCTGATTGTTTCTATCTCAACTTCTGCAATTCTATTTATCCTACTTAGGAACAAATCTTCTCCCACTCATTTAGAAGAAAAGGGAAGAGATTCTCTTTGGATTTACTGGAAGATCAGTCCAAAATGTTTGCTTGATCATATTCAACTTCTTAACCTTTGATAAGCTTTATCATTGCAGAACAAAAATTTTCTATGTGAATGCTTTTCAGATGAACAAACAAGTCCTAGAAGCAAAGTTTAATCTTCCCAGTGAGAGTCAGTAAAAAGAAATAAGCTTTCAAACTCATAAATACCTTTCCAGAGGTCTGAAACCAGCAAGACCCTTAAACCCCCCTTTTTTTAACATAAGCTTGAAACTGTCAATATAAAAAATAAAGCTGCAAATGAAAATAATTTAAGAATGTTTAACTAGTAACAGCTAACACTGTAGGCTAAACGTGATACTTTTTCCTGCATAGCTTTCCAACATAGACTCAACTGGGCACTAAATTTCATCCTGAAAAACTTTAACCTCTACCGGTAACACAGGTTACACACTTAACCAATATTGATCCCTGGATCCAAACTGTATTGTTCATCTCCATGAAGTGCATACATAATTATGGATATGTAGTATAATGTTATGCTGATTTTAGCTCTAAATAATTTTCCAAGGATGTGAAATCCTCCTATACATTTAAAAAAACCTTTCACTCTTTTCCAGTTTCACAAAAAAAGAAGTAACTCATTTTCAGAACATTTTCAATATTTCTTTTAGTGGGGAAGTGCCAGGAATAAAAATCTGTACTGTCAATATTTTCAAATAAAAACCTATAGCTAGTATATTTAATAAACAATGTAGAGCAAAAAAGTACACAAAAATGTACACCCAAGGATTTTTTTTTAGTACTCAAACTGTACCTAAAGCCGATACTTAAATGTCATTAGGAAATAACGTCCTACGTAACCAAGTAAGGAAGAACATGGGACTATACCACCCCATGGCTGCTTGGGCGAAAAATCCTGAAGATGTGCTGTGGAGTCCCAAGCACGACTCATGGTGAATGAAATGCAGCACTAACAGTATAGTTCGTTACTCAAGAGTCCATACTGTGTTCCTATGTGAGTCGTAGGTTTCCATTTTCTTTTGTGGGGTTGTTTCCAAATGTCCTTTTCGTGTCAATCCTCAGCAAGCCATTTTGGGAATCATAGTGCACCCTGGACAGCTCAGGAACAGTGCCTGGGTCCAAGGGGTACTTGAGCCAAGTGTGTGTGCAGTTCGAACACTTTCTCTGCACAACTGCTCACTTTCTGTCCTGTTCCAGATGGCCGGGACTGATGAATGATCTAAAAATGTCACTATACCCTAATTTCCCAACTGCTTTAGCATATTCGCTAGGGTTGGATGCACATTCACACAAATGACTAAAACCACTAAGATTTCAGGCATCTGTATTAAGTTCACTATTTATTTGTTCAGAACTTTTTCTTTGGAAAGTACTTTTTACTAACACGTAAACACAAGTTTCAAAAAAATTTCCACACTCAATGTATGAGAAATATTTTAACTTATGGTACTCATAGGCATACCAAAAAAAGAGGACCAGTGGTGAGAAAAATATTTCAATTTCTTGCAAAATTTTTTTCTTTGTATATGTAATCTGGGTTATTTTCAATCTTCGTTATGAAACTAAAGCTAGTCAGGTATAGGAACAGAAAAAACCATACTGCTGGATGCAGTTGATTTTTCTATTTGATTCATGAACCAGTTTACCAGGTACGTTGATTTGTAATGGCAGAATGGTATGTGACTCTTTTTTTAAAAAAGGTGTTTGGGAGCAACTTTTAAATGGTGGCAATGAGTACGGTCCCTTATGTACATCATGAGGCATACACAAATTTCAGGAGACTGTTCACATTCAAATGCTGTTAAACGTACAAATATTTTGATTTAGCAATTTACCACTTCTTGACACTGATGCCTAGAAGCAGCCACAATTATGCCTAATCAGAGACATGACATATGTACAACACACATTACAAGTAACACCCCCAACCACCACACACCCCTATAAGGGGTACCTCTATAGGTCTATAAACATGTTATCGTGTATACAGACATGGTTTTAAGTGAAGTACAATAGAGTCAGATATGTTGTCTAACCATACAAAGAGAGAACTTTGTATTACTTGTATATTCTTTTAAATAAAAACAAGGTATGAACTTAAAAAAAAAACTTGAATGTTATGAGACTTCTGGTTCAAGACAGTATCTCCTACTCTTTCATCTAAAATTGTTTTTAAAAGGTCTTTGTTTTAAAAAGACTATTTCCTTATGTCCAATCTGCAAGTCAAGAAGCATTTACAATCTAAAAATCCAAAATAAGCAATTAAAAAGAACTCAGATGTAGGTTGTTTTAATTGCTGAAATCATTTTTAAAACATACGGTAACTTGACATTTTAAAGCATTTACAACTGCATTCCAAAGAAATGCTAGGGTGCTTCACATTCTGCCTGCAAAAAAGGCAATCGTTTAAAAAAATAACTTTTGTATCATCAAATATAATATCAACAGTCCCATATAGATTTTTTTTTTAAATCCTCTAATAAACTGGGCAAGGGGAACAGAAAGAAAACAAAAAAGCTATTAAATGAGAAAAGTACTTTAGAAATGCCTGGGCCTTCAAAGGAAAAAGAAAAAAAAAACAGGCCTTTGCTGGCTTTGGATACATTCATTAAAAAACAACAGGCAGGGTGGGGAGGATGCAATGAGAGAGGTAATTTTAAAAGGCATTGTCTAGAAACCAGAAATGAGGAGAAAACAACCTCAATGCTCTATGATTACCCAAGAACGGGTTTAGCCAGATGAACAAGTCTGCTACAAACCCTCCCCAAGGCATTTGAAAGACAATCAAACAGAACTTTATTAAACTGGATTAAATGGTCTCTCTCATTAAATGTCGATGGCTACACATTTATGATCAGGTGAAAAAGTCCATGCATGGGACCCAAACTAGGCCTGGGTCCTCTTTTTGGTTTGTTTTTATTAGTACAGGCATTGTTAAGACAACCCACTATTGAATTTCTTTACCAGCAGGTCAAGTTCCAGAACTGCAGGTATAGGCACTGACAGCACTAAACCCTGACTTGCAGGGGTTGCAAGGCCATTTAGATATGTTGTGACTACATCCCTGCAATACACTCATGATTATATCTCTATATGCAATTGCACCCCTCTTTTATTAGGAGACTTTAACCTCATGAAAAACGTTCTCTCCTCCCTTTCTCTTATTTCAAGGACTTCCAAACGAAAAACAATAGTCCGAATGTTTCAAAGTTACTTCCACTTCCCCTTAATCAAAATTCAGGTAAAAACCCATTTTCAAAGTTTCCTTCCTTAACATGTATTTTATAAAAGGATATTTTACTATTTCTACATGGAATGTGTTCTTGGCTTTGTCATTTGTATTTTGAAAACTTTAGATCGAGTTTATTCTGTGCTTAATGGGTGTTTGTTGAACATGTTTTATACAGTTTCTACTTTGGGCTACTTACATAGGAACTTTCCTTTTATACAAATCACTTTGTGTATCCCTAGAAACTCCAGGGCAAAACAACCCAATCACTTCATTGATATATGTGAGATGTCTTATCTTGTAAAGCAGTTTCTCAGAAAGCCCTGGGACCGACCACACAGTTACCTAGATTTTAGTAAGTAGTGCTGATCACTGGGACAGAGGGCAGCACCCAACAGACACAAAATGTCTGCAGCCATATTCCTCTTGCTGCCCCATCTCAGCACTGACCTTCGTTCAAAGGCTTTTACTTTTTAATGCAGCAGTTAGAGATAACCACTTCATTTATCAAAACTCAATTTCCATAGTAACATCTAGCCTGGGGAGATTCAAGTCCTCACACTAATCCAACAACCCATTCAAAGGAACTGTTGAATACTTTGGTTTCCATAGCAATGATGGAATAAAACATTTTGCTAGGTCATTGCTTTTATTAGCAAACTTTAGGTAAGGCTGTGTTTAATGAGAGAAAACACAATCACTTTGTATGAGTTCTTTTCTTTAGGGCTGTCCTTTTAACAAAATCACAAATAGTAACTACCTATATGTTTGAAAATATTTTGGTATTTGGAGGTTTTGAAAGCATGCCACCTGGTTTCATCCTAAGACAGGTTCTGATATAGTTTTAAAATTAAAAAACACTTAAATGTGACTGCATACATCTGACAAAATAAATGTTTGTAAAATTAAAGAGGCTAAATTTAAAAGCACATTTTGAAATATTTCATATAAGCTGGAATAAAACCTCTCATACGCATCACACTGGGTTACGGTATCAAAAAACTTTTAAACCACGATCCCATCTTTGTCTGATTTTAATACTTTGCAATTCCAACCCTTCCTTTCATCAAGCACAGAAAACATGTTAAACACTGACATTTCAGGTTAAAGATAATGTATTAAGCAATTATGATTTACATGCTATAACAACGTTTTTAGTGTTTTAGGTAACTTTGTAGAAGCCAATTGATTTGTTAAAGAAAAAATGAGTTGGATTTTTTTCCCTTCAGGATAAGAAATAGTAGTTCCATTACAAGTTTTAAAATCCATTAGTAAACATCATTGTTTACATTTTTGGGTAATTAATTCTATGTGAGGTGACAGGGCAAGGCCTTAGAGAAGGAACATCAGCCTTCCTGGAACCAGACTTTTTCACTGAACTGAATTTTGAGCCAAGCCAGTGCTGAAAAGGTAGGCCATTAAAAAATAAAAGTTGACAGAAGAAAGAAGAGATCAAACAAGTGTTGGCTTTTAAAAGGATGAATACCACTTACACTATTTACACAGTTCAGAGAATTAACAAGAAAATTACATACCAGTATGAGTCCTCAGGTGAGCTTTTAAATGAGAAGACTTCGTATAAACTTTTGTGCAGCCTAAAATAAAGCAGGAGAGAAACAGCTTGTCATTTTAGAGATCCTTTGAAATTTTTTCATTTGATGGTTCTGTGTTTAAAATCTGGCTTTAAAGAAGAAATCTCTCATGCTACCTATCTGAAGCTTCAGTTTTAAAAAACACTCCCCTATCACCTTACTACAGATATTAAAGTGATTGCTTTATGTATGTATCATTTTAGCAGAAAGAGGATAATCAAGTCAAGCTACAAATGTGAAATGTGTTTATAGTCCAGTAGGTGCTTTATACTAGTAACACATACTTCAGTGACTTAAAATTGTTAATGGCTCCAGAGCTGACAATTTTAAACCATTATCCAAGATGACTGTCATTTTCTGCACTCCGACATTTCTTGTTTTTTCATTTAGTATGTCATGCTGTATCATGCACCGTAATCAACAAATTATACCCTGTATTAATCATAAACTAGCTTATGCCAGCAACTTGCAGATATATTCATTACTGTCATCAATTCATGTTTTGGGTCACGTATCACATTCAAAAATGATCATATGCTCATATACTACCGGAATGGCCCTTAAATATATTCTGTAGACAGTCTTCTCTTGCAGCAGCCTACTCAATCCCCACTTTATTACCACACATTTTCTCCTGCCTCACTTAAAAGTAATCTCTTAAAAGTTTCAGGGTACCTAACTTAGAATTAAAAACTCCAATTTATGACTGGAAATTATGTTAAACAAAGTGAGTCTGGCGTAACTCAAATTCTAATTTAATATTAAAGAGAAAAAAAGCCTAAGTAACTTTTCCCCAGAATATTCTAGCCTTTTTTTTAACATCAAATAAGCAACAGCCAACTAAACAGCACATACCAGGGTAAGACACTGAGACCGGGATACGAAAAGAACGAAGTAGGTGATTTTTATTGTCAAGCACTACTTTCCTTTGTAAATGTAAAACCTGAGTTTGAAAAAAGGGACACACACACAAATATTAAATACATGATGCTTCAACCAGGTAAGATCACATACCAGGGTAATCGCAGTAATGGATGCGTCGTTTCTCCAAATCAGGGTTACTCCTTCTATTGTATCTGACAGGTTGGATGTTTTGCGAATTAACTGGCAGGGTGGCAGGTAAATTTGGATTGTGGATTGCCAGTTTAGAAGCAATTGTAGCAGCATAGGATGGAGGTGGGGTTAAATTCTGGAGCATCTCTGCTTGTCTATCTGGACTTCCAGGCTCTGAGCTTGGTGGTGACGGGGGAAAGTAAGTGGCCTGTTGTGGAAGAAACTGACTGGGCATTGTGTATGTGCAAGGGGGCATGCCCTGGAACTGTTTCATCGTAGTCTGCGGAACAGCAGAGGTGTGTGTGTTAAGGCCTGCCATGGCGGCTGACATAGAAACATTAAGAGTGTCCATTACTGCTGTCTGGTTTGTAGAACTGGGCATATCTAGATCCGGTGTGTTCAGTAGCTGGTACAGGTGGCCCTGCGGGGGGACAGAAAGATGAAGATCTGGTGTAGGAAGTTCTTGTTTGATGAAAATATTGTTCACCTCTGGAGCTGTGGTCTGGTGTGAGCTGAATATACTGGTGAACTCAGGGAGGGCCTGGGTCGGGGCCGGAGGAGGGGCAGTCGTCTCACTCTGGTGGCTGAAAATGGTAACAGGTTCTGTCTTGATGTGTGTTACGCACGGTCTCTGGGATTTGTAGAGGCCAGTTCTCAGGTGAGTGATGTCAGGGAGGAAGACGTTCATGTTGATACTGTAAGGTAACCCTTCACTGTCAGTGAAGAACTGGTCTACGACTGAGGCACTGTCTCGTCTATACTTTTTATGCTCTGGAATTATAGAAACTGGAGGAAGCTGAGGTGTCAGATACTTTTCCATTTCACATCTTGTCTGAAAGAGAAGAGATAGAAACATGCATAATCCACCTAATTCATCATCTCAGGAAAAGCAAGCAAACGGTGCTTACTAAAAAATTCTCCAACAATCCCTGTGAAAAGTACTTGGGCAAACTCCTTCCAAGTGTTGCTTATAAACATACCAGGTTTATTTGTCAGTTGTGTAATACTTGGTTCACTAAAACCTTACGAAACTCTGTATAACATGAGTTTGGTAAAATCACTCCCACAATCAACTGAGGACAAAAAGTGAATTAGGTAAATCAAGCAAAAAGGAAGCAAACACAAAACATATTCCTTTCTGATGCAATAATAAAGCATACATTATTATCATTCGTATGCAAGCAGGAATCCCTGACCCATTACGCAGTTAAGTTTGCAACTAAAGTACAGTATTGTAATATTGCCAAAGTACCTCAATTCTACTCATCTCATACAGGTAACTTGAATGTGGTTTTTTTTTTTTAACTACGCAAACCTTAAAAATAATGTTGCAAAGTTGTAGTTTTTTATTTCTGCTAGCAGATACTGATGAAATATTTCACGTAAAACATTCCTTGGCCATTTTGGCGCCTTTTCTGGTGTATAATTGATAGGGAACCGAAATACAATGTTTTGATCAACAACGGTGTCCACAGAAGGAACAAGTTCACATTCAACATTTGATCTAAATGTTGATTTTAATCAGTAGATTCTGTAATTGGTTAATATGATAATGAAATGTTCCTATTTATATCCCTATCTAAAACAGATCTTTAATTACCTAGGGGAAAAAATCACTCCCTTGGTGCTAAGGCGCCCGTGGGTGGGGAGAGGCTGCTGTATCACCAGCACAGTCACCAGCAAAACATTTGTCACGTCCTCCTCAGTGGGACAATGCTACATTCCCCCTTACTCTGTAAAAACCCCAGTCACACCTTATGCTCTAGGTCTCCCCTGAGATCTGACAAAATTGACAAGGAAAGAGCCAAATCGTTTTCAAATGGGTTTTTTTTAAGGACATAACCCAGCTTGTCTGGGTTATGACAAGTCTTAGTCTTCTTACAGCTATCTTCTTTCCCAGTATAACATAAACTTAAGTACTTTTAACACCGAAAAGTAAATTTTAAAAGAAAAAAATGCACCCTATCTAGATGGCTCATCGAACGATTATAACCCTGACATCTTAATCAATGAATACAGTTGCGTTGGGTTTTGTTTTGTTTTTTGCTACTAACAATTTCAGAAGCGTTTCAGGTCGGACCTCGTATCCTTCAGTGAGGATGCAGACGCGGTTTCTCGGATAAACACGATTTAAAAATAAAAATTAACGTTCTAGTCATGTGAGTCATATCTCTGACAAATGCCACTGTCCTTTCACAGCACGGCGACACTCGCAGACACCCCCAGAGTAGGAGCAGAGTAGCAAATATACAATATACCAAGGGACTATTAAATGAAGCGTCTTGAAATAAACTGAACTAAACCCTTTCGTGCCCTTCGCTCCCGTGGTGGTTAGTGGTTTCTGATTTTAGCTCTTCCAGCTGTTTGCGTGTGGGTATGTTTCCAATTTTTTTTTCCCTAGGACACGCTAAAAGTCCCGGGAAGTTTTTTCTGGGCTATATAACTCCCTGCGTGGGCGAAAGAAACAGGCGGTTGCTCTAATTCGGCTGCCGGGCAAGTGTAAAAGCCAAGTGCCAGCTTTCAACGCGGCTCCGGGAGGAAATTAACGCGCACATGAAGAAAACAACACCCCGACTTTCTTTTTAAGGAAAAAATCATGACTCCAATATATCCTTTGCTTTTCCTGATTCTCAAAGGCAGCCCCAAAAGATAAGAAAAGAGGACCCCGTGGGGGCCCCTCCCAGGACCTCGATTTGCGTTTCCTCTTAAAATGAGACGACATGGGGCGGGGGTGAATCTCCAAGGCCACTGCACCAGGAGGAGGGGGAGATTAAGGCGAAAGGCGGAATTTACGTGAAGTTGGGCGTGAGGTACGAGGTTTGAACCTCCAAATGTAAAAACACAAAGGTGCGCGGGAGCACCTAGCTTCCCTTTAACCTTTGCCGGACGGACCCGCCAGGGGAGACTCACATACGACCCTCCTCTTCAGACCAGCCCACTTTCTCACTGCGAAATGCGGGTGCCCTGGCTAGGAGGGCAGGGCGGGGCTGCCCGCTCTGGCGCCCGGTGAGCCAGACGCACGCCCCAGCCTGGAGCGGCCCCTGTCGCCCGCGCGTCGCAGCGGCGGGACACGCCCGAGCCCCAGGAAGGAGGGAACCCGCTCTTCCTACCTGGACCAGCTCCTCGGGGGGCAGCCGCGGACCCGCGGCGGGCTGCGGCGCCTGCTGCGGGGGCGCAGGCTGCGCCTGCGGGTGGTGGTGCGGGTGCTTCAGCTCCTCGCCAGAAAAGAGCGCCGCGTCGCGGGCCGGGTTCGCGGCGCCCAGGACGGGCTTGAGCTGCGCGAACACGGGCTCGTCCTGCGGAGCTGGTGGCTGGGGCACGGGTCCCAGGCGGGCGCTCATGGTCAGCACCCGCGTAGCCATGGGCACTGGGAGGGGGGGGCGGCTCCGGACTCCGGGCGCGGGTCGAGCGCACTTCCCACTTCGCCCTCGCTGGCTCGGGCCGGCGAGCTCCACGCGGGGCCGCGGGCGGAGGAGGGGAGGCTCCGGGCAGACCCCTTAGTCCACAGTAGGCGCGGTTTTCGAAGGCGCGCACGAAAAGCAAAACTCTTCCGCTGGGCCACGCGTAAACGCCAACGTCCTCCGGGCGGCCACTTTCTCCCGCCCCGCCCCACTGCGCTCTCTCACTTGCCGCAGACCGCTCCCGCCACCGCTGGTCTCTGCGAGCGAGCTGCGAACGCGCGTACCTGCCCCGCGACTACTGACACTTGACGCCCGCGTCTATTTTACCCAACTCCAGGTAGGCGTGGCCTGTTCGCCAGACTGGCAGAGTTGCGGCGAATCACGAGGCCCCGAGGCCGACCGAGTCGAAGGGTTTAGCCTATGCGGAGGGAGAACTTCTCCGAGAGCTCCGCCTCCGCTGCACTGACCGCACCCCTCTCAGGCCACGAGCTTCGCGCTCCGGGCGGCCGCGCAGTTTGTACACAACTTCTCTGACAGAGTGGGCTGGCGGAGCTGGGGGCGGAGGAAAGGAGAGAAGCCGGTGGAATCTAGGAAGAGGGAATGAGGGTGGAGACATGGAGGAGATCTCTTCGGACTGTTCTCTGCCAGGAAAAGGAAGAGAGAGAGTTTTGCACGTCTTAGGTGTTGTGCAAAGACCTGAAACTCAAAAGTTGAAACCCAGAAGGCAGCTGGGAGGGGGCGCTAAGGGTTTTGAAGGACTAGTATAATGAGTGTGTATTTTTAAGTATACAAAATGTACTTTTCTTTAGCGAAAAGCTAGGGGCAGTGTGATAAACAAGTTAAAAAGAAGATTTGTCTCTATGTTTCTTTATCAGTGAATATATATCCATTTAGTAAAGGAAATTCCGAATGTATTGAGTAAAAGATTTAATGGCAAGTACTTTTTTAAACCCATGCATAAAAGCTTGTTTTTTCCTACAGTATTTAAATGGTTAGAAGACGTTTTCACACATACTACCTCGTACCTGGAGGGGACGATGGACCATATGAATTTTTTCAAGTTTTTAATACACTGTTGATTCAAGCTGAAGCATGGAATCTAAGCACTAACGACTAGATCAAAGGTATTTAAATAGGCATTATATCTTTGACTTATTTTTGCTAGCACTGTATGTTTGAAAAAATGGAGTTTAATATTTACAGAGAAGAAACGAAGCCCATTTACCCAACACCGTGACACCTTTTCCTACGAAAAGACAACCAAAGGAACCACAAACATTAGACACGCAGCAGCTCTGAAAACTGGGATTCCAAATATGTAAGAAAGTAATAGCCAAATATATTACTGTCCACTCACTGTTATAACGGGAAGGTGAATTTTTGCCATCAACCACCTAAGGGAACCACTTCACTTAATCTTTAATGTTCTCGTACATGATTTTATCTGGCTTATTTGGAAGCCGGAACAATAAACTGCAATAAAAATGCCTGGAATATTACTACATATGCATATATGTTGACAGTACACTGTACCTACAGACAATTTTACTTATACAACAGCCTACTCATCACTTCACAGTAAAACAGCTTTAAAAAACAAGTTGTATAAAAACATTCACTTCAAAGAGGAAGTCTATCAAAGGTATGTATCTCATTTCACTGTGTAGATTTTAAAAATTAATATACACATTAAGTATTAGAGGTATTTATTATTAGAAAACAAATTATGCTGTGAAATTTTTTTCTCCTTTTCATTCCCTTTTGTTATAACTGTGATCACTACATTCAGAGAATGCTTGACGATTACTTTCATGTTACCAAAAGAGAAGTGTTTTTGCAAAATTTTTTCTAAGAAAGCAATCCCATGTTATTCATCTTTACCTCTTAAAAGCTATCATGATTTTATCTAATATTGATTCCAATTATGTAATTAAATAACTTCAAACAGTTTATAGACTTGGTATGGGATTTATTATAATTTTTTTAAATATTGAAATTTGAAAAATTTTTAGTTACCTTATGCTGATGACATGATCAAACCTGCCCGTGATATAGGTAACTTTTAACAGAACTTCTGTATTCTTTTTAACTTTAATCTAAGTCTAACTTAGAGTTAATAAACTTCGGTATCCATTTATATTTTAATTTGCATTTAAGCCTATCCAGACCTAACCTTTTGGTTGTTTTTTTTCTTTTTTTTACCAGCGTCAGTGACCTGGTATTTCAACCTTAGTTTTCATTGCAATATAATCTAGTTGTTTTACTGGAAATGCTTCTATATTTTACACCATTTTAAAACATGTTTTCATTTACAAAAGCTTTCCCAATGCAAACAAACAAAAAAACACAGCTCTTTCATAAATATTTAATATTTTTATAGTCCTGTTCCCTTTTTTTCACATTTCCACTTTTACTAATGAATATAGGTAGGAACCTAGCTATGGCGGGGCTTGCAGCACACTTACAATAGAAAAGCGACATACAATTTTTTTTTTCTCAAATACAGTGGCATTTATTTAAATTTCATTTCCGACATAAGGATTCATGAAATAGGGCTGCCACTTTTAAGTAATGTTTTCTCTGAAATGCCCAGCTCTGCAATCTCACAGAAAATAACTAGCTTACACTGTATAATGGTACGGAAATTGAAAAGTAATCCTTTTTTGAGATATTTGCCATGCAATTCTGAACATATAAAGAACATGTTCAGCCAAGCTTACTTGCTGTTGCTGTTAACACAAATGCTACAGCTGCAAACCCGCTTCATCAGCTTAGCAAAAAGGGTTAAAACCTGATAAATATTTTTCAAATGTTCCAGGTTCTACGCTGGCCTGATGCCAGGCAGTGTGAATGGACAGATCCTCAATTACTTTGAACTTTCTAGTTCTTTGCATTCCTTCCTGCTTAGTAGTGCTGTACAATTAGGGAAGATAGGAGAAAACAAAAAACAAATGTCAGGTTTCAGAAATCAATTAGTGGCCTGGCAGTGGTGTGTTAACTGAACTGTGCCAAAACAGAGCATTCTGAGGAAAAGAAATAAAAAAGTTGAGTAGTCAAGTTAGGTAGGAGGGTAAGTGTAGAAGCACTGTGCATACTTAAGTCCTTAGTCACTGGGCAACACAGATTTAGTCTTAGAATAAACCATAAGTGTCACTATCTTTACGGGAATAAATACGCCTGAATGTGTGGGGGCTGAACAGGCATTCAGCGATGGGGGAGGGGGAGGTTGAAGGAGGCAGTGGAAAAAGAATGGATAAATAGCTTCTGAATGATGAGATGAGAGAATTATGGAGCTATCACTCGGGCAATATTCGCAGCAAGACGAGGGCAAAAGAAAATCTGTGTTCAGTTGTTTGGACAAAACGTCAGGGAGAGCTTGAAATTAAAGGAATGTAGAGCATTTTAGATAACATTTTATACACTTCATTGGAAAGTATTAATGGAATATCTCATTTCTGTAATATCAGAATCAAATTGTGGAGTGATAGTAGGCAACAGGAAAAGCACAAAAAATAAGTAAAAAAAAATTATAAGAGTACTTTTTTCTCTAGGGGGAGATTATTCAATTTAAAGTGACTTTTATGGTATGTATTGCTTGCACACCTAGTGTTAGAATCTGTATCAGTAGAAACACAAAATATAATTATTGTCCTCTAAAACATTTCATGTTTTTAATCTTTTTATTTTTTCATTAATGGCAACTGCTTTAAGTCACATCCAAAAAAACTCATTGAGAAAAGAACATAATAAATAAAAGTTTCAGTGAAGTTAGTCAAAATTCAAAACATTTTGACTCAAAACATTAAGACATGAGAAAAGATGTTCTATTCATTCCTTTTGTGATGAAAAAAATATGTAATTTAAATTGGATTATATACTTCTTTTTGTATACATTGAAATTAATATCTTAAGAAAAAAATTCATTTTTTTTTACTCTCCCCCACCCCAGTTCTTAAATTAAATTTGATATTTCAGTTTGGATTTATGGTAAATGTGTTCATGAACCAACTCATAAACTCCCCATGTGCATATATTCATTCTTAATGTACCATAATTTATCTAACCTATTTTTAAAACTCTAGTAATATACAAGAACAAAAAGTAGAAGTTTACCTTTCAGGGGAACTGGGATTGATTGCTTTTTTCCACCTTGGTGGTATAATAAGCAGACAAAAATGACATAAATATGAATGACTTGAACCAAGTTATAGGTCAGGCATACCGTAGCTTAAACTGTACAGTAATTGAATTCTGACTCTAAACATCATAGGAAAGGTTAAGAGAAAAATCTTGAACTGAAGCAATTACACCGAACAGTCTTTTAGAATATTAAGGATTCCACATCACTGGCATCACAATGAGCAGTGTGCTCATATGATGCTGCACGTGCGATGACAAAAGCACTAATGGCACAAGGCTGTGGAGCAGGCGCAGGGAATGCTCCCTGGAACAGGGAGCACCCATTTCGAGGCTGATTTGTAAATGAAGTGTGTGAAAACGGCACTGATACCAATGCCAGTTCTTCATGCCTTCTATCCACTGGTGATGGTTGTGTCATTTTTGCAGAATATCTGAGGAGGAGAATTTGACAATAAGTATGAAGAAGGCTAAAAAAGTAAATAACCTTTAAAGCAATAGATAATTTCCCCTCTAGTAAATATATATATATATGAAATGACCCAGGTGTCCAACAATAGAATAGTTAAATAATACATCTATGCAATGGCTACTATGTCACCACCAAAAATCATATTATTAAAGAATATTTAGTCATATGGGAAAATACTCATGGTAAGTTAATTAAAAATGTTTAGGTTTTGCCCTGGCGGGTGGCTCAGTTGATAGGAGCATCGTTTACAATACCAAAAGTTTCAGGTTTGATCCCCAGGTCAAACCTAAAACATACCTACCTTCTGGGTTCCATCCCAGTTTGGAGAGCCTATGGGAGACAACCAATTGCTATGTCTCTCTCACATCAATATTTCTCTCTCTCCTTTCCCCTCACTCTAAAATCAATTAACATATCCTTGGGTGAGGATTAAAAAAAAAAAGCTTAGGTGTTATAAACACACACAAATAAAGAAAATATAAAACGTATATATTTTCGTGACCATCATTATAGTTTTATATTGCTTTATACTTCTCAATTTGCCACAATTGTCATTTGCAATCAGAATACATTTGTCCCTCAGTATCAGTGGGGGATTGGGTCCAGGAACTCCCATGGATCCCAAAATCTGTGGATGCTCAAGTTCCTTATCTAAAATGACATAGTATTTGCATATAGACTA